TGCGCAAAGAGAGAGAGAGAGAGAGAGAGAGAGAGAGAGAGAGAGTCTTACATAACATGCAGAATTGATGCGCTACAAGTAAACGATATTCTTTGCTGTATTTTCCTGTCAAAGTAACGGAGTTCCATTGGAATTCTTCAGCTTTTAAGAACTACCGGGTTCTCCGGTAGTGGGCGGAACTAATGAGCAATGAAATCTCATTGGCTGGCACTCACTTATTATAGTCCGTTTTGATTTCAGCAAATCAGTTCCAGCGACCGCACACAACCTGATTAACATTCATGAATCCAGCAGCTTGTTAATCCTTGGTGCGTTTTATATTATTCTTATTAGTAGAATTCGTATCATTATTATCTAATCAGTATTTTTGTTAGTTTTGTAACTTTAATAAGGATTAATCTTTAATTTATACAGTCAAATATGCAATGTTATTTTACATTTGATTATTCAATTTCTGTACCTAAAAACTATGTTAGACCTACCTAAAAAATTGAAAAGCACTGTTTATTTTATTTGTATCTTTTTTCACTGTTTATTTATTTGTGCTGTTGCTTGTAGTTAGATTATTTGTTCTTATTTTCTTTATTTTTATTTTCACAATATAGTTTTTTTCCCTAAACATAGCAAACCGCACCGAAACTGATACAAACCGAACCGTGAGTAAGTTGAACCGTTGCACCCCTAGTGTGTGCGTGTATGTATATATATATATATATATATATGGCGATAATACCGCATATCGTTCTATTGAGCCACTCAGAATTACCGCAAGGGAAATTCCCTCACCGCGACAGCCCTAGTGTTTTTTTAACCTTAAACCGCATAAACACATTTCATTACACCAAATACACAAAATAATGTTCTTGACCCCTTTAATATAGGGGAGATCTGTTCGTGTTTATTGTTATTATGTTGGGATTCAAAATGATTTATGTTATGTGTGAGTTTTGCAGGGTTACCATTGTGCTAAAGAGTATAGCCTTTAGTTAAAAGGGTGTTTTTTTTTCCCCCACATAATTTACCTTTATTCTACACCGCTCTGTCCCTTCTTCTATAAACGCGCTTATAGATTTCCTGCTTTTATGAAGCCCCTCCCTCTGAAATAGACGATGGGCTCTGATTGGTTAGCTAGCCCAGTGTGTTGTGATTGGCTAAACCGCCTCTAGTGTGTGTCTAAACATCCTGCCCCTCTCCTCAGCGGCATGTGCTCCGCTTGTATTGTAAACAATTGTGTCATCAATATTGCTTATCAGTTTGAGCCCGATTGAGAAGCAGAGGATATTATTGAAGAGGTTCGCCTAGAACCTGTGCAAGCACGGCTTTTAATGGTATGTTTTTTGTTTGTTGTTGTCTCATACTTTTAGATACGCTGTTATTTGTAAATGCTCCTGCTTATGTTAGCTTTTAATATACGGTTTTATCCTGATTAAAGCTTTAATACAGCATGGCATCATTGATTTAAAACTTGTGAATCCATTAGAATCATTAGAAGACAGAATCGCGATTCATATATAAATAAATTTTTTGTGCACCCCTAGTTTTGACGGCATGGCAGCAACTCTTCATCTTCTCTAAAGCGGCGCAGCATGGCCCCGCCCCCTTTGTTGCATAGAGACAGAATGCATTTAGGCCACGCCCACACCAATTCTAGGGGGGGGCAATTCTACATTGAACAACAATCCGTGTCATTTCTGACTTCTAACAAAAAACGGAGCAAAGCTGCTGTGTGACAAGGTGTACAGCAAACAAGCTAAAAAACCCAGAACTACGTTTTTACAAGCTGTCGACCCCAAAAAATTAGCGTTTAAGGACACAAATAGTTGTAGATGTCAGGGTATCTCACGTTGGGCCATACAGTTGGATCATTTCTCAAACAAAAGGAAGGTAAGGAAAAGGGGCACGGACTTAGACCAATAAAGTTTAGTTTCTCAATATATCTCCTCCTCTCAGGTTCACATCGGGTGGTGAAATAATCCTTTGACATGGTTAACAATAATGAATGATTCCTGTCGCTGACGTTTCTCTCCAGTGGGCGCAGTTCTCATAGTAATATGACACATTGTGCTCTACTTTTGTGTCCTAAACGCTCCTTTTTTTAGGTCGACAGCTTATAAAAACGTAGTTCTGGGTTTTTTAGCTTGTTTACTGTACACCTTGTCACACAGCAGCTTTTAGACATTGCTCTGTTTTTTGTTATAAGTCAGAAATGACAAGTAGGCAGCTTCCCGCAATACAAAGTCAATGGAGCGTTGGATAATTTCCCCCCCCGGTGGGCGTGGTCTTCAGATTATGATGTGTGTCGCTCTCTCTATGTTCCCGGGGGCAGGGTTTATGAAAATTTCTGGGTTTGAGATGTCACAAACCCAGAAAGTAACTTCTTGTAGTTCCTACGAGCCGTTTTTGTAGGCATTAAATTGACAATTTTAAAAGACGATATCTCCGTTTGCATTGAACTTTCAGCATCATAACTTTGCAGATAATGTTTATGCTCAAACAGCAACATTACACACTAATGTTAAAAAAGTGAAATCACAATCAACCAGCCCTTTAAGAAGAGGACGGACCAAAGCATGTTAAGACAATCTCTATACTACTTTGTGAATAGCATTGGTGTTTGCTAATGCAGTGATTAGTCTCTTGCTTTCTAAGCTTTGAGGCAGTGTTTCCTCCACTGAAAGGCGTTGGGTGTGTTCATGTGGAGGTGGCGGATCTCACCTGGCGCGGTGTTCTGCTCGATGGCTGGGACGGGGATGCTCTGCAGGAGGAGAGCTTTGGCCGGACTGCTGCTCTGAGCCACACACACCGGTTTGGGCTGGATCAGAGGCTTACTGCTCAGAATGCTGCTGGCCTTCAGCGTCGCTGCGGAGGAGAGCACTGAACACACACACACACACGCTAAACATTAGCTGACAGAGCTCTGGTCATTACTCACAGAAAACATTCTCCAATCACATTCAGTACACACTCAAGAACCAATGACATGTGGCAACCAAAGGCATGGCAGACAGTCTTCAGTGAATAACGACTTTGGGTCTATTCTTCAGTGTGTGAATCTGAATAGAGGTCAAGTCAAGCAAGCTCCTTTTAAGACACTTTTATGAGTCTGACAGGCCCTGGTAACTCTATGGAAATAATCAGATAAGAGATTCATCAAGTGCTTTCAGTATTTTAATTTGCATAAAGTTTATTTCCTGCTGCATTTGCTCCAGCAGAACATTCAAACAAATATGAGAGAACACGGCAATCTAGAACAGGAACAGAACTCAGTTACAGTGACAGTAAGAGTCATGTTACTCAGAACAGTCTCTTACACCGGAGAGAGTCACCTGTCCTGTTTGCTCACTTTAAACCAGCAGCAGGCAGTGTGAGAGAGAGTGTGCGTGTGAGTGAGCAGACCTGTGGTTTATGTGTCGAGGCTGCTGAGAGTGTGTGTGTGTGTGTGTGTGAGAGTGAGCAGACCTGTGGTTTGTGTGTCAAGGCCGCTGAGAGTGTGTGCGTATGTGTGAGTGTGAGAGCACACATGTGGTGTGTGTGTCGAGGCCGCTGAGAGTGTGTGCGTGTGTGTGTGTGTGTGAGTGTGAGAGTGT